AGGATGGTAATTCATTGCTTGGTGAAATTCATGATCAGTTAATTCGTCCAATTAGTTCAATCTTAGGGTTGATTCCAGCTTTGATTAGTTAACCATAGTTAAGTTCAACTAAGGTAAAGGAGCTTGAAGTGGTAGGGTAGTAATTTCAAAATAAGTTCGCAGTTTGGGTACTTAGGCCTAGGCAGAAATGATGTAGGTTATACTAGAATCACCTAGAACCTTCTAGAATAGGACTTTAGTTCTAAATTCAGAAAACAGGTGCACTTACTTGAGAAGCAAGTCAATAAATAAGGGACTAATTGGTAAAGGTCTAAAATCTGATATGCCCTTAGCTTGCCTATATAAGGCAATCCTCTTTGCCTTAAGCAACAAGTTTTGAGCTCCCCCCCCCCCCCAAAACGGTCGACTCTACTAGTTTTCAGATCTAATTTTGAAATTCAACATTCAAAAAACCCAAAAACAATAGAAAACCTCTAGAAAAACCAAAAAAAATATAGAAAACTCAAAAAGAAAAACACTGTCCTGTTGAGATTTGCAGTTGAATCTCAAGCTGTAGTAACAGCTTTGCATCTTCTAGTTTGATTTCTGGTTGTGGAGGTTTTAGTAGTGTGCTGGGTGTACTTTCGAGTTCATTTGGTGTCATTCAGTTATTTTGGTCGATTTTCTGCTTGATCTGGTGTTGAACATTTACTGAGTTTACCGGAGGTTAATTCTGGGTTGAAACTATTGCTGGTTCCTGTTGATGTTGCCGCTGTGAAATCACTGACTCTAATTTCTTCTCTGGTTTTGCTTAATTCCAGGTACACTTGATGATAGGCTATAATTGCATATTTTAGGCGCTTATTACACTCGAATTTACTGCACTTTAATTGAGTTTGCGCTTTAATCGCTAGTGTTTTGCACTAATTGTGTGTTTTATGCCTTGTAGGTGTGATTCCGAGCTATATAGATGTTACGGAATGAATTTAAGTGATTTGAAGCTTTGAAGTCTGAGTAAAAGCTCAAGGAATTAAGCCGGGATCGTGTTCGGAGGTCAAATTTGATAATTAAGTACGAACGAAGACTTGAGGAGGCATATTGCGCACTGTCTAGTAAAATAGACATAACTTTTTGCTCAGAACTCCATTTGGGCTCCACAATATATGGTTGGAAATCTAACTCAAAGTATAACTTTCATGTTTTACGTTTTTCCAAATTCCAAACGGAACAGGGTGAAAAATCGCGGTTTCGCCGCGACCGCGGCAGAACCGCGGTAGAAGATGGTCGCGGACAACTGAAGAATCAGAGGGCATGTTTGGCCGCGGTTCCACCGCGACCGCGGCAAAACCGTGGCAGGAAGCGAAAATTTCAGGGACTAAAGTGCAAAACATGGGATTTTAAGTCCTAAACCCTATATTAAACAAAGGAGGCCGGCCAAGAACAAGAAGGGGACATATTTTGGACACAAATTAGACCTAAGGAGGCGGAGAGACACTACTTTAGGGTTAGGCAACACCCTTGGAGGCAAGAACACATTGGGAGCAAGGCGGAGAATTCTTCTACGAGTTTTTTCCTTCCTCTTCCTATTTTTCATTGTTGGTTATGACTTTTAGTATTGTAGTTTTACATACTATTATGAATAGCTAATTTGTTATCTAGAGTTTGATAGAACCTTTTGTAGGATAAATTCTTGTTATGTTTTTATATAATTGAGCCATAGCTTTTCTCTATTTATTCAACTACGTTTATATTCTGGTTGATTGAAGAGCTCTCAATTAGCTGTGCCTATTTAGTATGCATAACTCGGGAGAGAGTGCATTAGATAATTGTTGAACAACACCACTCCCAGAGTATATGAGGGATCAATAACCGAGGGTTTAAAGGCGGGATTAGGGATAACGAAGCCTTGGGTGCGATCTGAAGTGACCTGTATTAAAAGCCAGCTAGCGTAGCTCGGGAGAGCGCGTCTAGTAAATTGTCGTAATTACTCGGGAGAGATTTACGGTAATAAGAGTGCTCATGATCGGTAGAGAATACTTAGGCGAAATTATATAAGACATAGCGGGAAGGATTCCGACAATTGGGGAAATCATAACTCTAGACCTCCTTAATATTTTCTCTAACCCTCAGTATCGTTAGTTGTTAATTCACTATTTTAATTTGTTAGTTAAGTAGTTAAACACAAGAATCTTAATATCTATAAGTTAGGAATTGTTCAAGCTTGTCTTCTTGGTGATAGTGAACAGCTGTAGCTAAACCTTAGTTCTCTGTAGGATTCGACTCCGGACTTGTAAACACGATTATATTTGCAGCGACCGCTTAGTCCTTTTTATAAGGCATAGTTGGGCGTGATCAGAGGCGTAATGATGACGCATGGGGTTGTGACATCATTTCTGAACCAACGTCATTAAACACGGCTCTCAAAACGCCACATCATCAGCTCGGCCGCAATTCTCACTACTCGACCTCCCCAACCAAATCTCTCGAACTGTGACTAACGAAGTCCGCTTATTAAGGTCAACCAAAAGACGACCTCGATAAGCGGAGGGACTAACTGTGTGGGTCAAAATCCGACCGAGAAAATTCAGCACGAGGAGGTGATTATCGTGAAAATTGTAACTTATCATGGGCAGTTCGGCCGAGGTCCATCAGTGGGAAACAAAACGAGCCGTTGAGTGGCTCATCAGGGTCGAGGTCGAGTAGCAAGGGACAGAAGTAACGGCTAGTACAGCTTTGGAACTTACAAATAGAATATTCTATTGAAAATTCCTTTTTATTGTACCTTTTAGTGTTTTTTTTTTTTGGAATGTCCCATATAAATAGTAGGGGAGATAAGGAAAAGGGTATGTAATATTCCATTTGATAAGAACACTTTTGAAAAGCAAGCTCTCTAGATAAATACAAAGAACCACTTTCTGATAAAGATTCGATCTATATATTCAATCCATTGTCATTTTCACGAGATCCGAGAAAGTGTATAATATTCCCTCATATTCTTATCATTCACCATTGTAAGAAGGAATCATTCACCTCTTTCATTATTGGGTGAATATTTCTCCTTATTTACATTTAGTGTCATTTATTGTTATTTACAACTTGTCTTCATCACATTAATAATAGCCACATTTATTATGTTTTGCATTAAATCGACTTCAACGTGGTCCTACACTATCCATACAATCTGATTTTTAGATCTAGAGATATTATCTTTGACTAAAATTAATCTATTATACTTTTACTTAATTAGTTTAACCAAGAGTTTCATACTTGTTGGTCAAACACTTTCCTTTATTATACTTAACTTTAATATGTTTTTCGTATTATATATGAAAATTTAAATGGTCCATATAGAAGAAGATGGAACAGTACATGGGAAAGGAAAAAAGTTACTAGAAATCTTCTCTCATTCGCCTTCCAAATCCTCCAACGCTGACTTTGGAATGCTTAGCACGTCCTCACTAATTAATAAAATAAAAGTTACTTTATTTTTTATTTTTTTAAAAACACCATATAGGAGCAGGGTACATGCCCAACACCATACGGCATTTGTATAAACAAGAAGAGATAAACAAAATTTTGAAAGAAGGAATTTGAGGAAAAAGTTTTAAGAAAAATGCACAGGTCGGTTCCAAAATTCATATTTACCCATCATGAATTTGAATTAGTCGATAAAAATGTGCGAGTTTGAATAACGGAGTATGAAGGCCAAAAACTAATTGTTAGGTAAATGTGTCAGTGGCGGAGTTAGAGGCTACATTACGGGTTCTCATGAATTTAGTAATTTTTATCAATACGTTATATATAATAAAAATTTCATTAAATATCTATAAATATGTGGTTGTGAATCCAATTATTAACTTGAGATGATAATAAGAACCATAAATCTTAAATTAGGAATCCGCCTTAATAAATGTTGTTTTTGGGAAAAATGCATAAGTACCCCCTAACCTATATCCAGATTCCCAACTACACACTCTCCTTTGCGGGGTTATTATTACCCCCCTCCCCTCCCCTCCCGCCAAACTATTTTAGAGTAGAATTATTTGCATCCTTAAAGCTGACGTGGCAGAATGTGTGTATTTCACTCTCCTTGGGAGAGTGAGAAGCAACAAAAAACGATCTTCAAATTGGAGACACAATGGTTTATTGGCGTGACGAGGTAGATGAAGCGGAGGATCAAGAAATTGGAGATATAATGGTTTATGATTCCGATTCAACCAATGCCGGAAACCAAGAACCTCATGTTGACATGGATGAACTTACAAAAATGATGCAAAGCATGTGATGTACTATTTCTTATTTTTTATAGTTGTTGTAAACTTTAATTTGCAAATTCAAAAAATAAAAAAATTAAAAAGGAGCTTGCAAATTAATTTAAAATATTATATATTATTCAATAAAACTATAAAATGAAAGCCTAAATTAATTTGTGTGATCGAACTTGCAAATTAATTTTCCACAAGTAACAAATTGTACAGTTTTGTTTCCTAAGAGATGGAACCGTCTAATTTTGACCGAATCAATCAATACTCAAACAAGAAAAAAACATAGTCAAACAACAAGAAGTCTTTCTTTCTTTTAAAGCATTAAATATACTACTATAACCCTCTAGTGTGACATGTGAGTTCCATCACACACGGCAAAACTCTACAATTTGTTACTTGCAAGATAGATTTTGTATTTTTTTTAAAAAAAAAATCGAACCAAATAATTTTGGAAACAAAATAATCTAGGGTTTTCAATATTTCACACACATACTCTACAATAACTTTTTCATATTTAAATTTGATTTGAAATAATTTATGTTATGTACAGACAATATAGAATATATTTATACAATTAATTTTAGATTTAGAAATAGGTAACCTAATAAAAATTACTATAATTAATTCATTATTATAAGTTTGAATTGAGATCCAAATCCACACGCCCATGACTCGTCAGCCAGTGATGTTAGCTTCAACTGACAGACGGTTACTTTATCTTTCCCTTCCCAAACCAAAATCTCTGGCCTCCCTTATTTTCTGAGTCTCTCTCTCTCTCATTTACAGTTTCAAAAAAAAAAAAAATAGAATCAATATGTCACAGCGTCGTTCATTTCTCTCACGAAGAATCCTTAGTCGATCCTTTACATTTTCCAAATCATTCAAAGAATTCAAACTTCCAGAAACTTCTACTCAATCTGATTTCGCTGTTTTTAGCGGCGGTACGAACAAAGTAGTATTAGGAGGTGAAAATGACGGCGCCGTGGAATCCGATTCCGGCGATGCCACGTCATCGTGGTCAAATATGTTGCCGGAGCTTCTAGTAGAGATCATACAGCGAGTGGAAGCTTCTGAGGACCGTTGGCCGCTCCGTCAAAACGTTGTCGCATGTGGATGTGTGTGTAAGAGATGGCGGCAACTTACTGAGGAAGTTGTTGAGTCGTCTCTTCAGGCTGGAAAAATTACCTTCCCTTCTTGCCTTAAACAGGTGCTAATTACTTTTTTCAAATATTTTTTGTTGTTTAAGAAAAAAATAAAACGATTTTTAAAATTATTTTCTGTGATTTTCCGTAATTGGAGGTTCAATTGGATATAATCTAGGTCGTTTGAGCTTTAGGTTACATTGTGAGGGGAATTTGTTGCGGTTAATTTTTTTTTTTATGCTTTTGTATAGTTCTCATCGTTGCATAACCTTAATTGTCGTGGTGTTTTGATAAATGAAGCACTGAGGAAATGGAAAGAGTTGGTACTTTGGGGGGGGGGGGGGGGGGGGATGAAATGGGCCTGAGTAGAGCTGAATAGAATAGAGGATTCATGTAGCCGTCCAAACAATTCGGGGTCGAGGCATAGTTGATTGATTGTAGTTCCGTAGTTGAGTGGACTTGTTGCTTTGGAGCGGGAGCAAGGGACAGATCCAGGATTTAAGCTCTACGGGTTCAACCTTTAAGGTTTTAGTGTTGAATCCGTTGTATTTCTTAAATTGGGTTCATGTCTAGTATTTTTGCAATTTCAGTGGATTTTTACATAAATATTTGCTATGCATCGAAAGTGCTGGGTTTGAATGAGCCCGGTGCCCCTCTGGCAGTGAGTGCAAAGGGACTCTCTTTTTAGGCGTTTGGATAGTCCGTGTTGGATACATGTTAGGCTAAATCAAATTTTTCCAGAGAGGTTAGTTGGCCAATTTTGATTATGGTTTAATTTCAGCGAGCTGAGTCCATTCCAAACTTGATCAACTCGTACTACACAGGGTTTCCTGTATGTGCAAAAGTTGCGCCCATAATAGTTCTGATAGAACATAGAAGAAGCAATCCCAGGGAAAAAAGGGAAATTGTTTTACTGTTCTTTTCGAATACTGGGTTTGTTTTAGTAATTATTTCAGTTGAAAGAAATATTGTAGCTTGATCATCTGTGTAATGTATGTAATTAGGAGCTTAGCATACCTCATTCTTGTAGTGAAAATTCTCTATGCATTCGTTGTTTTTAATTCTATATAGTATTTTAAAGTGATGTCTTTTCCCGTCTCCAATTTTCTACTGCAGCCTGGGCCTCGAGACTCTCCTCTTCAATGTTTCATAAAACGTGACAAGAAAAACGCCACATTTTACCTATATCTTGCTCTTTCACCCGGTGAGTTCTTACTTTAACAAATATTATTTTCAGGAACCTAACTTTGGGAAATTGGCCGCTACCTGCAATAATAGATGCTTGACTTGATGAAAACATGATGGTTGGACTGTACTTTAGGTGTTAATTAGCAACTGAACAGTCATACTCTTTAAAATACCTATAATTTTTCTGGGTCAACTGACTTGGTCTATGTTTTCTTGTAAGACTTTATCTCAGCAGAGACTATTCAACTGTGCATGTGTTATTGACTTATTAATGGAAGTCTCAATTGTCTATTGTCTACATGCTGACACCTATCTTTATTGTGCTCCCAACTTTCTTTTGCAAAGATTTGAAATTATTCCTAATCATCTTTATTATCTTAATCTTTTTATAGGAATAGTCGAAAACATTAGAAAGTTTCCCTTGCTTAACAGTTTACAGAGTCTACAGATATTCACCGTCTTTAAGATCTATTTTTACAAGTACGATAAAGAAGATTCATTATGCTTGTTAATTTCACATGTTATTGAGACTCCTTGTGATAAAAGACTGTTGTATTACTGCTATTTTACTTAAGCTATCAGCTTGAAGGATGCTTTAAGTCTGATACTCCAACTACCAATACATATTCTTTTTCAAAGACATATGGAGTCACCAGTTATAATATGTTGCTCTGTTTTAGAAATTTCTCTGTGATTTGACTGTTTTTCTCGGTATTTATCTTTGGCAGCATTAATGGACCAGGGGAAGTTTCTCTTAGCAGCCCGGAGGTACAGAAATGGTGCTTACATTGAATATATAGTATCTCTTGATGCAGATGATTTGTCTCAGAGAAGTAACGCGTATGTTGGGAAGTTAAGGTAAAATTGGTTGACCCTGAAACTGAACACTGAGGAAAGCAATTTCCTTTTTGTAATATGTGTTTATCTCTGCCAGGCTAAATGAGTCTGAAGGGCTAAAGCTAAGTCCTAATGATCAAAAATATCAAAGTTCTCAGTAACATGTCTAGTTTCATACATGTACCTTGACAAGATGCTGATCAAGGACTTAGGAGAATTAATGTTTGTACAAAAATACAACATGATGAGGCTAGAACTCGGTAGAGTACAATTGAAAAAGTACATAATTATTTTGGTTCTTTAAGATTGACATAACCTAAATTCAAATGAAAGATGCCCGGAGTGTATAATAAATAGTTATTGTGGTTAGAGTATCATGTACAAATGGATTATGTTTCATGAATCACAAGGCGTTTCACCCTCCTCTTGCTTCTTCTTATTGCATGTTTTGCTGATCCTGTAAGTGCCTTTTCACAAAAGAAAGGGGAAATAGGGTAATATCCAATCTTCAAAGTCTGATCCACATAGATGATGTCCAATACTAAAAGATATTCTAGATGCGCAACATGTGTCAGTAGTATCAAATGTGTTCTTCGCGGTGCTTCTGTTAGATACATACCTTGTTTTCTTGTGAGATATTTGGGGGACACAGATTGGAACCCTAAGTCTGAACCCTAACTTGTTTTGTTGACCTTAAAAGGATTGATTTGGTGCCATTTACTCCTCTCTTTTTCAAAGTATTACAACTTCAAGATATCCAAGTCTCAGAACACACAATTGTTTGGTATATAGATGTTTACCCATCTCTGCTGCCATGTAATAGAGAACTCTAATCTTGCTGATGTTTTACAATGCATTAGTTTTCTGAGTATGTGAAATCGTACATTCATACTGCTTCTGATCATTCATACAATGTTGGCTTCAAGTGTTGATGTTCCTGTTTAGTTAGTTGTTTCATGAAACCATTACTTTAATAGAAATATGACACATTAATGACAATGGAAACCTACACTTTCCTATTATAGATTGTCATGAAGGAATCTGTTCAATCATGGGTATAGGAATTGATGAGGCGGTTAAATACACAGCTGTATCCCCCCTTAACGGAAGTTTGTGCTGATACACTTTTCATTTAGTGGCCCAGAGAAGGTTCTTAAAGATTGCCCCGTTAATTCTATTTCTTTCTTAAGGTTTTTGTCCTGCGAGGAGGTTAGAAAGTTGAAAGCTTTACTTGGAGCTTTTTGTTAAGTTCATTCCTCTCCATGTTTTTAACTAGATTTTCCATCAGGTCTTTTGTTCAATGTTGTTAGCTGGAGAAACAAATGTTACATCAGTGGAAAAACCAATACAACTAAGCATGTCATGTCACTTGTCTGCTGGCAAGCTTCTCTTTTCCCTTTAACTTGCATACCCCACCCCAATACATGTATTTACCTGTCGTTATGATATTCGAATAAGGGGAGAAAAAAAGGTGTGTTTTGATTTTCATTTTAGTTTGTTCATTCATGTTCTAACATTCCCACTGAATCCAACTAACAGGTCGGACTTTCTTGGGACCAATTTTACCATATATGATAGTCAACCCCCACACAATGGGGCAAAGCCATCAAGCAGCCGGTCTTGTCGTCGTTTTGCGAGTAAGCAAATTAGTCCCCAATTACCAGCTGGTAATTTTGAAGTTGGACATGTTTCCTACAAGTTAAACCTGTTGAAGTCAAGAGGGCCAAGGAGGATGGTATGTTCACTCAAGTGTCCCTGTCCTGGAGAAGCTGTTGTGGACAAATCTCAGGATGCTCTGAAGAAGCAGCAGCTTGGTTCTGCAGAAACCAGCGGCACTGTTTTGAAAAATAAACCTCCACGGTGGCATGAGCACTTGCAATGTTGGTGTTTAAATTTCCACGGCAGAGTCACCGTTGCATCTGTTAAGAATTTTCAGCTAGTTGCAACACTGGACCAAAGCCAGCCTGGTGGAAAAGGCGATGAGGACACAGTAATCCTTCAGTTTGGGAAGGTAGGAGATGATGTTTTTACAATGGACTACAGGAAGCCTCTGTCTGCCTTCCAAGCGTTTGCAATTTGCCTGACCAGCTTTGGCACCAAGTTGGCCTGTGAATAGATTCTTACTCTTAATCGTTGCAAGCATGCTTGTGATGCACAACGGAACGTTTTTCGTTTAATTTAATATTCTCTACTCTTTGCTACCTGTGTAATTTAGATTAGTAATGTAGTATATGTGTGACGATGTTAGTGTAATCTAACTTTTCATGCGAATCTCATCATCGTGTAACAAAAGCTCGATCTTTCATTACCGGTGTTTCTATCTACTAATGCCAATTCCTCAGGACCCATCAGTGTTCACATTAATCGTTATTGAAAAAAGAAGAAACAAAAGATTGATGCCGACTGCCTAAAAGGAGTTCAAGCTTTTCACTTGTAGCCCACTTTCGGACGTTTCTGAGGCTTAGCATCTGAGCTGCTTACTTTCCATCCCGGAGGAAGTGCAGATATACCTGATTTTGAGATTATCATTGAAGTCATACCCTCATTGTACAAAGATTTACAAATATACCTACTTTGGAACGTACTTTAGACATACGTTAAGACAATCAGATCTGAAGTTCTTCCGTCGTAGTGTGAATTTCGGAGACATTAGTCTGAACAGTTTGGTTGCAGTGGTGCAGATAAACTTCAAACAAATTAATCTGAAGTGATGCAACAGATACGAACAAAAAACAGACACACTAAAGTCAATGGAACTCCTCCGGAAGTGTCGAATCTTTAAAACAATTATCAAATCTAATTTGTAAAAAATACCTCTAATAGATAATAAATTTATAATTGCATCGCATAATCTATATATTATTAAAAGAAGAAGAATAAGCCTCCACATTAAGCCAAGTGACAACCTCATAATAGGCCAATTCAGGATAAAGTTAGTTACGTTAGGTAATTATTAGTTTTTTTAAAATTTAAATTTTAATAAATAAATTATGCATTATGTATTGTTAATAATTAGAAATTTAAAATTATTTCTATTTTACGCTCATCTTTCAAGTTTGACACTCAAAATCATCTTGTTACAGCGTTCATAGCTATATAAAATTTCATACGACGACATTCTTCTACCGATAAGGAATTCAACTATTATGCTAATGAAGACATTACTACAGAGATTGAGGAAGGAGACGGGCCTTCTGGTATTGCTCTAGAAATACAAGGCAACTCTTCTACTAATATGAAGGCGTTGTGTGATAAAATTAGAGATGAAATTGTTGAGAAATGTTATCATGTGTGATTAACTTTGCTTATTATTTCATGGTGAATTATCACGATAGTACCAAAGTAATTTATGTTTTATATTTTAATTAAACAAAACAAAAATAATAAAGGTCTCTTACAATAAATATTTAAGTTTATTTTTCTTTAAAATAATTATAAGACTTTGGTACTATCTTTTTTGACAATTTAACACTCAAAAGTACTTTTTAGAAAGATCGGTCAAACACAATTTGTTTACCAAATATTGCGAAAAAGCACTTCTTGTTACAAAACTTAGCTCAAAGTAATAATATGAAACAAGCAAATAGACAAGAATGTAGACAGAAAGAGAGGAGAGATTCTTACTTCTTCAATGTATTCAAGTATGTCAAGTGTGTACAATGTGATGCCCAAACCCTCTATTTATAGGATGATATAGGTAATACAAAGGGATGCCATGAACATGGTATTAACTATTGAGAACATGGGGGAAGATCATAGAGGTATGGGAGTTACATCCATAAAGGTAAGAAGTAGTGGGAGGTTAATGGAGAAGAGTAGTGGGTGTTACTCCCTTTAGGAGTTATGGACATCCACCATAATCAAATATTTCATAACACTCCCCCTTGGATGTCCAAAGATAATGTGCCTCGTTAAAACCTTACCAAGAAAAAACCCTGTGGGAAAAAATCTTAGTGAAGGAAAAAGAGTACACATATCTTGTAATACGCATTACTTGCTGCCTCGTTAAAAACCTTGCCAGGAAAACCCAGTGGGATAAAATCTGTGCGAAGGGAAAAAGAGTGCAGCGCATGCTATACTCCCCCTAACAAAAATATCACTTGATATCTCAAAGACGATAAATTCCAATCATGTATAACAACTTCTCAATTGCTGAGGTTGGCAATGCCTTGTGAAGAAGTTTGCCAAATTATCACTTGAACAAATTTGTTGAACATCAATCATATCTGAAATAGAACTTTAGTGAAATACGTTTTATTTTGTCTCCTTCGATAGTCCTTCTTTCAATTGAGCTATGCATGCAGAATCATCTTCAATGTAATTGAAATCTTGTTGTATATCATAATTTGGCATTACGCTCACAGCCAAATAGATTATCTGAACAACGAACCATGCCCTGCATTTGTATAACCAACATAACCTTGACAATATTTGTTAGAATAAACAAATCTATATCAAGGATTCCTTTTGCAATATAATATTAATCATATTTCAATATCTCCATATAGCCTTTATACTTTCAGTTGTTGGGACTATTCGTCCAACTTCATATTTTTCAGATGAAGTCAATTTTCATTGCATATTTTTCATTTGGCCAATCATTTATCTGTCAAAATTCCATGACAGATTTGAGCTCAACATCCTCGTCAATATTAATAATATTGGGCGCTACATTATATAAACAATATCGTCAATGATTATTTTACATCGGTTCCGTCATTACCCACTAAAGACATAACTTATTGAGATCTCTTTATCTCATTATTTTCAGATACCTGAGCCTCTCCCATGAGGTCTTATAAAGTGTTATGTCATGGTGCTCTTATAAAGCACTTGCCTCCTTATTGTGACCACCTTGAACATTTGCTCCTCTCCTTCTTCAAGGAGTTTTATCTTTGGAACCGATTAGTCACGCTTCATGCGTGTCATAAACTCTGTCCATCATGGACTTTATTCTATTTTGGAGCATTAGCAGCTGAAATATGACATTTAGCTTTAGATTAGCAAATGCGCCTGGGCATAATTTTGCAAATGAATTATCACTTCAACATCAAGTTCATATTTTCTCGTACGAGGATCTAAGTGTACTCATAATAATTCATTCCATGTATTACTTTTTTTTAGCTGCTCATTTTCTCCCCCAAGTGTTGGGATCACCAACACATATCCCTAACCTTCTTTGGGGACCAATCTTTGTGCATTGTGGTGGGATAATTATATCATATCGCACATCCATATTTCTATATAGAAATTATTTGGTTCCTGACCCTGAACCAATTGTGATAGGGAAAATTTATCATAACTTGTTGGCTAGATGCGTACAAGTGATGTTGTATATTAAATAATATACCCACCAAATATCGATTTGGGAGTTTTATTCTCATAATCAATGGTTTAGCTTAATTGGAGGCATACAATTTCTGCTAAACCAACTTTGATTTAAACCAGCATTATCAAAATAAATTATCATAATTTATATTCTGAAACTGTGCTCTAATAACTTGAGCAAGCAACCTTGCAAAAGCCAAACTGCAAGTTGACAACAAACGCACATGTGACCATACAATAAATACATCTTTTAAAATCATATAATAGTAAACGGTCCACATGGCAGGTGACTGGGCCCATATATATCACCTTTTATTCGTCCCAGATTTTAAGGGATTTAATCCCAACCTTGACTGGTATATCATGAGAATAAGCAGCACAAGAGAATTCTTGAAGAATCTTCTATTTCTTCAATATATACCAATGTGAATTCTCAATTAATTTTCGCATCATATTGAACTGGGATGGTCAACCGGTCGTACCAACTAATATTTGTTTCAGTAAATATTTAATTTACTATGGCATGTGATTCCATCACCATGCTTAGACATCTGTAGTACAAATAGAAGAAAAATCGGATAACCTTTCATATTTACCCGGTATGATTATAGTAATATGAAGATATTCAATCTTCCTTTCATTTATAGTGTCAATATGCCAACCACTTTGGCTAATATATTTGAAACTCAAAAAGTTCCTTTTTGATACTTACAACCACCAATGCCATGAATAATTTTATTTATTCGGGTAGTAACAAACTCGCTCTTTCGGAGCTCTCAATAATTTTGTACTACAAGATCTTTTATACTACCATCCAAGTGGTGAATTTTTTCTCCACAGAAAAAATTATCTTATCATTGTCACAATCAAAAACATTATAGACGAGACTTATTTCTTGCTTTACTTTTGCCTTTAATAAATTTTTATAAGGCATGTCAAAATATTTTCGGCGCACCACATATACACGACAAATGATATATTTGTGTAACCACATAGTAGTGTTCATGATCTTTCTTTCTCTCAAGCCTCCCGTAGAGGTGAGTTGTAGTATTTATTCAACCATGCATAAATATATTCTTGTGCATAATTTGTATCACATATATATTTCACATTCACTTCAGGAATGAGTCTGCATTTACAATGCTTATCACAAGTCGCATTCTTTCAAAAAAATGGACTATAATCGTCAGAGCGTGCCTCATATTTACAGACCATATTGATACACAATACCTTCACCTTTGAAGGATTATTTTGAGAACCCTTATTGTTCTCCTTTTCACAATTACCATAATGATGAGTATTATTATTTTGATCTTTAGCACGCCCACATTCATTGGTCAACCACTTGTCTTCATTTAGACTTATTATGCACCGCTATCACATTCACTTCAAGAATGGAGCAAATCAAGTGGGACAAACTTCATGCCTTTTCATGAAATAACATTATATTTCACTAGTCATCATTAGATCATCAATATGGTGCATTGGGACTCAAACCCAATACATTACCCATATAAAGGCATGTAAGGTTATAATGCGTTGGGACTTGAACCCAGCGTCTTGTTATCATTGTACACTAGGACTTAAACCCGGTGTCTTACCCTCAAGGTGCGATAGGACTTGAACTCACCGTTTTACCCCCGACCAATAGCATAATAGGCCGAAGTAATACTGAGAATCATCCTTGAGCCTTTAAAAAAAATTATCAGTTTGAATTTTTAATTAGAACTATCATAGATCTTTTTCACGAACAATAACACATGACTTGGTCAAATATAAATAAAATAAACAATCTCTTACATGTATTCTTCATGAACTAAAAAGGTAAACAATGCTTTGCAATAAGAAAACAACAAAATCTACTCACAGTTTACTGTATAGTTACATGTTTAACCGCTAAGGTAATGAAAGATGTTAAACTAATACAAAATAAATTGAACAATATACAACATATGACATTATCACAAACATAATGGTGTCTCAATACATTTATTATTTTATTTATATGCCATAGATGCCTTGCATCTTGTAGTATATCTTTTTTCTTTGTATGTGTATAATTGCATGTGCATATATCTTTGGGAATGCTAAAATCACTCTTACCACAAATATCTCTGACGACATGAAATGCAAAATTCACCTTTACGACTTGGAAGAATAAAACAAAGTATCTCTGACTACCACAAGCTCACTTACAATTACAAAATTTAATAAGTTACTTCTATGGACTGCTCAATATCAACTCAAAACACAAAGATTTCCTACTTCTATTATCCTTTTTTTCCCCTCTAATTTCCCATTGGGTGAACGGTAAAAAATATCAAAGAGGATTTAAAGTTAGTGACATCGGATAAACAGGGATACATAAGTGAGAGTAAACATAAATTTGCTCTAGCTCCTGGAAATCAAGGCAAAGTTAAAAATTCATCAAGGCTCATAGAGTTTTAAGATCTAATACATGAATGTTGAGATAAGCAACCTAAGGGAATCAACCTTCTCTGCCTTCTAATTAGAAGGAAGTTCACTCAAACAAAATGAAAATCAAAAATTAAGTGTAATATCTTACTTGAAGAAAATATCCACCGTTAATAACTTTATCTCCAAAATCAATTCCTTGCCTCTTTCATCATTTTTATGAAGTATCAAGTAAAATAACAATTCGTGCTGATAACGTGTTACAAAACTTAGCTCAAAGTAATAATATGAAACAAGCAAATAGACAAGAATGTAGAGAGAAAGAGAGGAGAGATTCTTATTTCTTCAATGTATTCAAGTATGTCAAGTAACGAATAGATTGGCCAAACACAAATGGTTTTTTTTTTCAAAAGTACTTTTGAATAAGGCACTTCTGGAAAAAAAAAATATTTTTCAAAATAAACAGTTTTTGGCAACTAAGCCAATCGGACTCTCAAATAGACCATGATGCCACGGATACAGACAGAATATAGAACTTAAGTGTAGACTTTCACGGCGTTAATTTCTTTTCCCCAAGTCGGAACCACTTGCCACAGGGTCTTTTCTAGCATATGAATTCTTACACATGCAGGTAAAAGTTTAAGCGCGGCACTAATAATTTTAGGTAGAGCGTCTCCGACTGTCACAAGGAAATCACAGAAACAGGGTCACCTTTCGCAAGTAAACAAGTGCTAGTACCTGAAAAGACTCCCAGCGTGATCTTTTTTTTTATATTTTATTTTTGTGGGTCTACTACGAGGGAAAACAATGCTCAAACAAAATCATTCCCATATGCCAATTATTTTTAATAGAGAAGGTAACACTTCAATAGCATAAAATTGCAGCATCAAATTATATTCCATTGCAAATGGATATACTTTGCATATTCCCATGTGCCTATTACGTGTCCCATTACATATCAAAGTAAAGAAGCTCTGAAGAACGACAGGGTCATCACACCACAAAGATAACTGAGAACAATCTCCAAAAAAAACAGGAAACACAGGATAACACCGCTTGCTAAGCGTAAACGCCTTATTTTCCATATTAGTAACACCTGTTTAGCCAAGAAATCCACAACCATCAATTCATACACAGGCAAAAGCACCGAAGTGGTTTCAGAAAGAGGGCTAATAGAGAAAGTTGTTCATGTACATGACCGCTTTTAAGACTGGAACGGAGATTTGAGCAACCCAAAAGGCACTTCATTTCTTTCCTCTAAGTTTCGCACCAAGAGCTCTCTCCAGTTTAGAGATTATCTGTTGATTTGGAATCGCCTTTCCAGACTCGTACTCCTGGATGATTTGAGGCTTCTCATTTATCAACTGCGAAACAACAAGAAGCATCAGAACCTTTCTCATACAGACTGTGGAATCAACCACCTGGTACAGTCTATCTGTTCTATATTTTCCCTATTCTACTTTTTCAGTTTTTGGGGGTCGGTTGGGGAGGGGGTGAGACATAATGGTGTTCATACCTGGGCAAGTTGAGCCTGAGTCAGCTTCTTATCTTGTCGAGCTTGCATGATGGCTTTCTTCAGTTCAGTTGGTACCTTTTGATCTGATAACAAGGTCAAAGATGAAAAATTACAAGCGGATATTATCATCGGAAAGAATAAGTTTGTGCTAGCACAAAATTCCAGTATTAATGAAATACATGCATAAAAGAGTAGAAATAGAGACAAGAGTCAAAACAGTTCAGCAACAAAAGGTTTGTGGTACAAAATATCACTACCGAGGAAATGCATACCTAAAAGAGTAGAAATAGAGACAGGAGTCAAAACAGCTCAAACAACAAAACCAAGTCATACAGTAGCAGGAGATCCTCAGAGCGAAAGAAAGAGAACATTTAAAGAGAAAAGAAAGATCACATATGATACAAAGATACCCCAAGCAACCAGACATCGCAGGCTTAAGAATTGTGGACGTTGAATAAAACATTTTTCCAGCAGGAATGGATAAAGCAGACTATACGTAATGTGTTTCTGAATAAAGTGAATAGATGCAGAGAACGCATTCAAGATGATGTTCATTTGACGGGATGGATCGTGCTTCGAAAAGTTTTTGGGCATTATTTATTGCCATACTCAGAGACCTTTAGAAGGCATCTTCTTGTCTAACTACTTTTACTTCGAAGAAATTTCAGAATTTCGCAAAAACGTAAGAAGTCACTGATGAAAGTATGTTTCTGATACATAAAAGGTTGTAATAGTAAAGCATAGTTCCAGCAAAATAATGTAGGGAGAACGTAAGTAACACCAAAAAAAGTTAAAGAACAACTGGAAGCAAACATGATTTCAACTAAAAGAACACAACATACTTTAAATGTGGTATACTCAATGAAGCAGTATTAAATTATCAAATGTGTTGCTTTAACTTACGAGCCAAATTCTCAGTATCTTCATCAAGTTTCCTGGTGTTCAAGGTCGTACTACTGGAGGCAGCTTTATTTGTGCCAGCAGCAGCTGCAACAGAAGATAGATGTTGAAAGTATAGATTAGAACTCAATAAAATATACACAAGTTAACCAAAAGGAAAAATAGGCAACATAGAAATTGAAGAAAAAAAGATTTAATTCACAAACCAACTGATGGAAAGGGGGGAAAATGGCACGAGAAAAGGAGAAATATTCTATTGAGTTCATCATATTTCCATCTAAGGACCTCATATTTGTAGAAATTTAAACACTAGCAATAAAGCGTTTGAGAGTATTTGTGAATGTAAATCAAGAATGACCAAATGTTAGATAGGTGCCATCAGTCATCTCATCTCCATCAAATAAACTAAAGACTTCCAGTTTCAATGAAGATTAGAAACAAATTCAGGTTTCATAATACAATACTACTGATGATTGATAGTTCCAAAATGAAAGTCGTCTCAAAGGACCTAAAATCTACCCAAATTCATGCGACTTGTCGAAACAAAACACATGGGAATTGGAATGCGAAAAATCCGATACAAACAATATCAATTAGTTGAGATTAAGGCATAGTATTGCAACATTTACATCAGATCTCGTGTTTGCCAAGAATTGTTTTAGTTTAATACGGATTTGTGTGCCAGTGCAAGTATGGATATGAATTGTAGAGAACCTCCAGCTTTGAAGAATCCCTGAAGACAAATATGAGTATCTGAATGGGATGGGCTCAAATAAAGCACATTAGTACAAAGGGTTCATATAGATGACCACAAAAAGTTGGAACTAAGGCATAGTTCCAACTTTTGTCATAAAAAACCGAGTTATGAATATTGGGAAGAACATGGAGATTTGTCTCTGGCAATGGAAGGATGATAATAGACTTTCATTCACACAAACTTAAGCAGAAAACAATCATTGTCGTTCTACTAACTGATTTCAATGAAAATGAACAACTTTAGGCATCAGATGAACGTAAACCCTACAGCACAACAGATACTACACCAGGCCTAAAGGTCATAATTACCCACAAAATTTCAATTAAACAAAAACAGATGCTTGGAGTAGCATATAAGGGCACGTAGAGGAATCAATCAAAGATATACATACAGGTGATAATCTAATACTTAAAAATGAAAACCCTAGCTGACAGAATTCGCACATTATAAGTATTTAGATAGCAAAATCGGAGCCGTGGAGAGAGAAATAAAAATTGAAACGCGCGCGCACAAACACACACACATATATAGGACAGAAGAGCAGAAATAAGAATCGAGATAAAAAAAAAAAATTATCGAAACAGAATTAAAATTGAAAAATCAGCAGATATTATGAGCAATCGAAGAAAAGGTTATTATAAAAGTGATAAGGCTAAGGTCGAAAAGTAAAACAATCTTATGTATGACGACGTTTAGGAATATGATAAAAAGAAGCTGAGAATAGGAGGATACGAACATTTTCGGATGGTTTCGATCTCAGCACCGGAGCGACGGGCGGCGTTGACGGCTTTCTCATCCTTGCGTGCGGCGGCAGTAGGCGCCTTCTTGCGGATCACCACCGGCTCCCAGTCTTGTGCTATTCCTCCACTCATCCTTCGTTCTTCTCGGAAAAAAAATATCTCTATTGACCCTTGCTTTTGTTTCGCTTTGTTACTACGCTCTTTGGAAAAATATTCCCTCTCTCTCTCTGTACTTGGCCCTTTATATAGAGGGATACTTTAGGGCATGTTTGGTTGCTGGTTAGAATATTTGCGGATTATGGTCTATCTATCCAAATTGGTTTCTCTTTATTTTCTTTTTTGTAATTTTATACATTCTCTTCTTTCTTTCTTTCTTTTTTCCGATTTTCGAATACACCTTATCTATTTTTTCTCCAATGCATCTTCTCTTCAATATGGTCAGTTTATAACTAGCTGCAAAATAGAAGATTCTATGGAGTTCCTATAATCTAGTTTTACATAGTTAACAGAGAGAAGGAAAACTAAATTTATGACGTTGTAATTTTTTTTCTCTTTTTACGTCTTATATGACATTGTAGTTCAAATGAGACCTCTTGGTTATTAGGAAATTCAATTAGGGAGAATCCACTAGTATAAAATTAAAATTGTGATTGCTTAACTATTGTAATCATTCGCACTGCTTTCGGAGTTCAAAAATTCTTTTGTTTTTTTCGCTTAAAACCAGAATAGAGCTGTCTTTGAAGATGTCATACAATTTTTCTTTAGAAGTCACATTCTATGTCAAAACATAAATTGCTTAAAAAGAAACTTAAAACCCTTGCTATTACGGACCAATTAAAGAGCAATGCGCACTTGCTCGTCCAAACCATTCTATCACAGTGTGGCACAGTAAGTTGATCGTGATTCATGTCTTAAGGGTCGGCCAAGAAGCCAAAAAATAAACGATGTTTTAACATTTTCAATATTTCTTATATCTGCTAACTTGATAAATTGAGAAAAAATAGGCCTGCCAAAGTACAAATGTTCCATCATTAAAGCACCGAAGCATTTAGATCAATTGTTGTCAATGTCAACATAAGGATGGATATAAAAGAAACAACTAGGGTGTCATTCTTACATAAGTGGTTAACCTAGATCACTGACTTGTTCATCTAACAAAGATTTTCCATCTACATACAAAACCTATCCTCCCAACTACATTCATCTAAACTAGCAAAAGTAGACATCATTACGACATGACCTAGAACAAGACATCTCAAATGCATACAGCAACTTGAGACATTAAAACCATTCCACCTTGCATCACATGTCTTCTATATAGCAACTCCTGTCATTTATGAACATTATCATCCTCCTGACTCTCTTTTTCTTCATTTGCAACAACTGGCCACTCTTTGGAAGGTTCCTGTAATTGAGTTTGAAATTAATTATAAGCTTAGGATATAATTTGCTAGAAATCCAAAAGAGAAAAGAGAACTAGAGGTTGGGTCCAGTCATAAGTACTGCATGACGCACAACTCCCTGCAGAAAATTATTTTCTTATTTGGCAGAGATTGAAGGTAGTATATTGATCAATCCCCACAAGCCATGATACTATGCAAAATCTATCAAGTAAAACTTATGATGATTTTAGTTCTTTTCAAATTCAATATAGCATAGGGTGCAACCTATGGAAAAATAAGAAGAATATGTGAATTAGACACCAAATCGGCAGTTAGCAATTTCTGCCAACAGTATCTAGGATTCATTTTTCCAAAAGGCCCATTCAAGTTTGAGAACTAACCCTCTTCCTCACAAGCATACTCATCACAGCTCACCTTCCTCCGCAATCTTACCCTCTTCATTTGCAAACCTGGTCATTCTTTCTTCTTCTTTTTTAAAAAATAAAGGCAAACCTGGTCATTCTTTAACCAAGCATGCTTGATTAACAAGCCAAAGATTTCTACAACAGTTCCCTCTCCAGGGATCGTCAACTTTTTTTCTTTTTACTTATAGCTGCATCAAACTCGACACTTCCATTGAACCATAAAGCATTTTATTCTAGTAATTCACAATCAGATCTAAACTTAGTGTTTGTGATTCACTTTTTCCATGTGATAAGAAATCATTTATACATAAATCTCATACTTAGAATCACCTTCAAAAATTACCTATCAAAAAAGAACTTCTTAAGAAATACAAGCAGCTATATTCATGTTCAAATGTTTAAAAAGATACACTTGGTTCCTGGAAGAAATACTTGCAACATAGGCAATCCTTCCGTCCCAAGTCAAAGCAACTAAATTTCAGCGTGATTTAGGACATGGATTCCTTGATTTTTTTTTTATTTCACTTGTGTATAAGTAGTAGTGGAGGAAATATTAAAGAGTTTGGTTTGACAGTCAAAATATCACATCAAGTTTGAATTTTGATCAGTTAAATGATTTGAGCTCTTTATGGATAAGGTAAAGTAAGCTAAAAGATTTGAATTCTTGAAACATATGAAAGTTTTTTTAAAAACAATAGTATTATTAATGAAATAGTGTCAAACATTTCGACATTCCAAAATAAAGCATATAAATTGGACCAGATAAAGTGCTATAAATATTATCCTTATATAATTAAGCATATTTTGAAAATAATTGCAAAAATGGTAGCGTTAACTTTTAATATAAAAGGGACTGATATCATGGACAGAGGGAGTAGGCTACAAAATTAATCATCTTAGAAACATCAAAATAAACATTGTACAGCAACCTAGCAGGAGATATCCATGGAACATTCAATTAAGAAGTAAAAGCAAAGCCTTACCACCCAATTGGATGCAATCTCTGCATTCACTTTCAGTGTTTCGAGACTTAGACAGCTGAGATCTTCCAAGAGTCCATCAGCACTGTCTTTGCTCACAGTATTCCCCTAAAGACAAAACACAAGCCAATCAACTGGTGTGAAATTACAGCTCCATAATAATCATAGCATAGAAGTAATATAGAGATATCCGCAGAAAAATAAATTCAAAAGAAGAGACACAAGCCCAGAAACTTCTACACTGAAACCCTCCCAATTCCCTTTTGATGTTTCTATAATCCCACTTTTGAGATCTTCACGACGTCCATTAGCATTGGCGTAAAGTTTATTATGCTAAACATAAAGTAGAGTCACTAACATGCATGCAATACACAGCCACTGACTCCTACTAGCAGGAGATCTCCAGGGGAACTAAATGCAAGATAAAGAAACTCACCAGAAAGTTAAAGACTCCCTCCTCATTGTCTTTGGTTGTTTCAGGAATACCTTTGCTTAGATCTTCCAAGCTTTTGGCAGTGGCTTCACTTGGAGAATTGTACTAAAGACAAAAATCAAGTCAGCTAACACTGAGCATAATCCCAATCAACTGTCAACTATATAAATAGCACACAGAAACAACTGGCCATCAAACGAACCTCTAAGTCTGTAGAGCCAGCACCTTTACCTTGTTGGCTTTCATTAATCAAAGACAATTTCGACAGAGACTCCTCAGTATTGCTGATACTTACAGAATTTGTGGTTTTGCATTGACCACTCAAACAATCTTCACCGCCATCATCATCTGCATTCCCCTGCAATATGTCAAACTGTTAAAATATTGGCTTTGCATGGCAAGGTAATGACTTGAAAGCCACATTTTTCCCTTTGCAAGACATAAGCATAATGATAGCTCTAATGCTTGTACATATGGGACATAAACTTGTTAAGAATGATAAAGGGAATAGTAAAACTAAAATCCACTATGCCTCCCCTCCCTATGCCTCATCCAGGGGCGAAGCTACGTGTAACAACAACAACAACAACAACAAACCCAATAGTTTCCCACAAGTGGGGTCTGGGGAGGGTAAGATGTACGCAGCCTTACCCCTACCCCTGGAAGGACAGAGAAGCTGTTTCCGATAGACCCTCAGCTAGAGAACGGCTGAAAAAGAAAAGGTATTTGCAACAAGTAGGAATAACAGCAAGATAAAATAAGATCGAATCCAAGAATGCAATCAAACTCTAGGTAGTAATAGCCATCGATGAATAAAAGATATCATACTAACACTAATGCTAGCGAACTGAGTAAGACAAAGAGAAACGCTCGACTACCTATGAACCTTCTATCCTAATCTTTGACCTCCACACAATCCAGTCTAGGGCCATGTCCTCAGTCAGCTCCAGCTGCGCCATGTCCCGCCTAATAACCTTTCCCCAAGACTATACCTCTACCCCTCCTGCTACCCACCGAGGCTAACCGCTCGCATCTTCTAACTGGGGCTTCTATACTTCTCATCTTAACATGCCCGAACCATCTCAACTTTGCCTCCCGCTGGAAAATTATATTGTGTATAGGGTAAAATATTAGTACTTGTTATTGATAAAAGACAGACTTTGAACACCCTTGCATAGTCCACTTGCAAAGGATGTTCAAATCCTTATTGAATTTTCTAGCTTCACCGCTGGCCTCAGCCCGAAAGTTTTAAGCAAATTCAGCATATTGATATGTAACTCCCCATCATCAATTTTGCCTCAATCCCAAACCAGCTGAGGGGGTGTTATGCCGGGGCGAATGTAGCATAGAAGTAATGGGTTCACCCGAACCCAATAGCTTTAGCTCAAACTCTGTATATATGTTAAAAATCCACTAAATAAGTACAAATAATATATTTCGAACCATAAATCAAATAAGCTGTGGTAGAATTTCAAATTTGAACCCATAAAGTTCGCTATATGCAATTAAAACCGAAAAGAATTACCTCAGCCTTAACCGGTTTATCACATGCAGAAAGGACAATGGAGGGAAGGCGATTAACGTCCCAACCAAGAATTTCACAAACGACCTGACAATAAGCCCGATGAGCCCGCCTCTTCTTGGTCTTAGCAATGGATACGGCATGCTGAACAAGAGCCCCGCAATTCTTAAACCTCTTCCACCCTTTCTCACGCACCCCACAACACACAAGACAACAAAACTCTCCATTATCACGATTTGTCTCATAGTACTCTCTCAAACCATCATCTTCCTTGAACAATTTCACGAAAAAATCGTAGTCTTTAAAACCCTCTTCCTCCTCATCTTCACTGTCGAAATCATCCTCGTCGTCAGTTATATACTCGGAGAAATCATCTTCATCGTCGTCTAGGGTGAGTGTAGACTTCAAATATTCGGAAATAGCGAGCAATGCCGGAAGTTGAGCCTTGTTCGCGGCCTCGTCTTCGGCGGTGGGCAAAGGGGTTTGTAACTTTGATTTTGAACTGTCATTTGGCCAGCTGGAAGGCCAGCCTGACGATTCAGCAGTGGGTTTACAGGGCCACTCAACAACACCGGAGTTTGGAAGCGGGTCGGAATTTTCGAGGTCATTTTGGGTTTTCTTTGCCATTTTGTACTGTGCTTTCTTCTTGAATTGGGTAGTAGTGGAGGGCTGAAGGCTGGAGTGTTGGTCTTGGGGAGTCCAAGGCGCTACTATATAGAGTGGAAGTAGGCAACTTTTGAATTAAAAAGGGGGAATTGTTAAGAAAATCGATACTATGGTTACCGTGATTATAAAAGTAATTCCATATAAAATTTGGTAGTATAAATTTTGGTTTGCTTATATTTTATTTTCGTTATAAAATCTGGTAGATCCAATTAAATTATATATTAAAATATTGTATCACATACAACGTGTGATAACAATCACGATTAAAATTAAAGAGAAAAATAAGTGAAATAACAAAATTGTTCATATGCCAAAACCCCTTTCTAGTTTTTTTCGTAAAAGGTTAAGATTTAAATTAGAAATTACAATTTATCTAGTTTAAAACTAAATGCACGTTCAAGAATATACACATCATTTTTAATTTAATGCAATACATTAAACAAATTATAAGTACTAAGTAATGAGTTTCACGACCAAGACTTTCTACAATCTTATAGAACCTCCAACAGAAAACCAAATAGATTTCAAATGGATTTGGGATTTAATATGTCCTAATAAGATTAAATTCTTTTTATGGCAATGTCTCCATAATAGGATACATGTAGAAAATACCTGGCAGGAATTGGTTTAAATATTAATCCCAACTGCTCTATATGCATATGCAAAGAAGAAGAATCCATAACCCTTATTTTCTTTAACTGCAAAGCCACCAAACCTTTTTGGGACAGTCTTGGGCGGCAAAACTTCCTTTAAAGCTCAAGATGAACACTGGCTTCTTCAATTAAAAGCTTTTGACCACCCACTAAAGAACAACTTTATAAATTGGATTTCTTTCTTTCATTTGTCATCTGGTACATTTGGTTAAATAGAAATAACAACAATCAAAACAATACTGAAAATCCTATAAATGGTGACCATATTATTCAAATGGCAACTGAGTTTAAACTTCTCATTGAAAAAAAACATAAACTCTCCTCAAAAAATCCCCATTAAAGTAAGATGGCATAGACCACCAAAAGGATGGTTTAAACTAAATATATATGCCGGTTTCAATAGCAATAACCAAAAATATGGCATAGGAGCTGTATTCAGGAATGCCAATGGAAAATTGGTAGTTGGTTTTGCAAAATCGACTTGTGCTAGCAAATCTTTACAAGCAGAAATCAAGGCACTCTTAGAGGGACTCCTAACAGCACAAGCATGAGGAATGTTCCCTCTTAAAATAAAGACAGACTCCACGGAGGTAATCCACTCTATCCAACAAGGTAACAGATTATATGATGACATTGTTAATGAATGCAGGTTGTTAATGCACCAGCAGAAGGAGGTAACCCTCCACCACGCATTCAGGCAAGGGAATCATATAGCTCATCAATTGGCAAGGAAGATTGCTGATCAAACAAAGGGGAAAAGACATTTTGTTGAACCACCTTCTTATGTAAAATATTTTGTGGAAAGTGAACTAGTAGAACATCATGTTTTTGTGAATTTTCTATCTTATGATGTTTGCAATACCCTAGCAAGCCTAGGCAATCAAAGTGTCCTTATGTACTGAACGCTACGTAGTTTTTTTTAATATTTCATGTTTGCTCAAAAAAAAAGTAATGAGAAATTATTAATTTTAATATTACAAACATGATATTATAAAACACAACATTATCATGTTTGCTAGCTGTAACTTATTTTCTCTATCAATATGTGACCTAACTGTATACGGATAAAATCGGGGACAGTGCGTATCCCGATTTCCCGAAGGCAAAGACGGAAAAAAGGCACGGACACACGAGGTCGAAATCGAGACTGGGAGCTTTCGTACCGAGACCCATGAAAGGTGAACGACGTGCTCATTGTCGGGCGTGATAAAGCAACGCTCTCCAGACCCAAAAACAAACTCTAAGATCTCGGGAAATATGGGAAACAATTATGCACGAGTAACAGAGGGTCGTAATATATGTACCTAATTGGATATCACAGCGCAGATCTCGCTCGATGCCGGTTGCGGATCAGTAATTAACAAAAAATGAGGATTTTTACCTTTTTTAGACTTGTACTAGGGATTAAACTCTTCTACTACATAAAGGGGAGGTTTTTCTTTCTTTGAGGATACATTGTAACACGCAAATCAAGGCAATACAAATTCATTTTTCTCTTTTCACGATTGGTCTCGAACAATCTTAGGAAAGCACCCGAAGGAACGAACAAATCGCCAGGGACCGGGTGAAGCCGAGTCCGGGGTCAATCCCGAGATAATGAGAATGCTTTAAGCATTAACAAAGCGGGTGGAATCAGGTGAGAAGAAAATTGAGGCCAACGATAAGAAGGTGGAAACATACAATTCCAGGATTGATAATCCCGAGAGCACCCCCGATATTGAAAGGGCCAGAATTTTCCTCCGAGTGCAGTACCAAAGTTGAGCCCAAAGAGGTTTCGTATGCCTGATATTCCAAAATATAACGGAATCACGGATCCGAATGAGCATGTGACCTCTTATACATGCGCCATCAAAGGGAACGATTTGGAAGGTGTTGAAATCGAGTCGGTGTTACTGAAGAAGTTTGGGGAGACTTTGTCCAAATGAGTGATGATATGGTATCACTAACTTACCCCCCAAATTCCATTGACTCGTTTGCTATGCTTGCAGATGATTTTGTGAAGGCCCATGTTGGGGACGTCAAGGTCGAAACCAGAAAATCGGACATTTTCAAGGTTAAACAAAGAGATAACGAGATGCTCAGGGAGTCGTGTCGAGGTTCCAGATGGAACAGATGGACCTGCCTCCGATTGTAGATGATTGGGCCGTTTAGGCATTCACTCAAGGACTTAACGCCGGAAGCTCCTTGGCTTCGGAACTGCTAAAACAAATTTGATGGAGTACCCGGCAGTAACTTGGGCCGACATCCACAACAGGTACCAGTCAAAGATCAGAGACGAGGACGACCAACTCGGAGCCTCTTCTGGGTCTATATCCCATCAGGTCCGACAACATGTCTAAAAGAGCTATTGATCATGAGCCAAGGCTGGTCCGGGTTAAGTAACAACCATACAGTGTGGACTAAAGGGGAAATGGGTCTGGGCGTCATCCCACAAGGAACGAAAAAAGAAGTGATCAAGGGCCTAGTAGCCTAGCTTTGATGAGCAAGAATGGTTTCGATAGGCCGATTGGGGGCAAGAAGCGCCAAGATTATCAAAGTATAACTTCAACGTTGAGGCTACCAGCATCGTATCAGCCATCGGGTGCATGAAGGAAACCAAGTGGCCTCGTCCATTGCAGTCTGATCCTACCCAAAGAGATCCTAACTTGATGTGTAAGTATCATGGAACTCATGGCCACATGATCGAGGATTGCCGACAATTGAGAGAAGAAGTTGCACGGTTGTTCAATAACGGGCACCTCCGAGAGTTCCCGAGTGATCGAGCCAAAAACTACTTCAGGAATAGGGACACCAACAAATAGACCGAACAAGAGGAGCCTTAGCACGTCATCAACATTATCATTGGAGGGGTTGATGTCCCCCAAGGTCTAATGATAAAACGCACTAAAGTATCTATCACAAGGGGAAAACGCACCCAAGATTATGTCCCGGAGGGAACCATTTCATTCAGCGATGAGGTTGCTGAGGGCATCGTCCAACCTCACAATAATGCGCTGGTAATATCCATGTTTGTCAATAAATATTGAATTAAACGTGTGTTGATTGATCTAGGTAGCTCGGCCAACATCATCAGATCGAGGGTCGTAGAGCAGCTGGGGCTACAAAACCAAACAGTGCCGGGTGTTGAACGGATTTAACATGGCATGTAAAACCACTACAAGGGAGATAACCCTACCGGTGAACACCGCCGGGGCGATCCAAGAAACAAAGTTTTACTTGATCGAAGGGGACATGAGGTATAATGCTCTATTCGGAAGGCCTTGGGTTCACAACATGAGGGTGGTACCCTCGACCTTGCACCAGGCGTTGAAATTCCCAACACCATAAGGAATCAAGACGGTCTACGAAGAGCAGACGGCTGCAAAAGAGATGTTCGCAGTCGATGAGGTAATTCCGGTGCTTGCTGTTTCAACGTCAAGGAACGTGGAGCCGGCCAAGGAAGAAACCAAATAGCAATCACTGATGTAGGTCTCAGTTGAACCGGAGGAACAAGGAATAGACGAGGAAGATGATTACGGAGTCCTAGATCATTCATAGCTCCCGATGACACTGACGCCACCAAATGGACGGTCGAAGAGTTGGAGCAAGTCATGCTAACCGACCGACTACCGAATCGAAAGGTATACCTGGGGACGGGGTTAACCCCTGAGCTCAGGAAAAAACTCATTGATTTTCTTAAAGCTAACATAGATTGTTTCGCTTGGTCCCATTTTGATATAACATCGATCCCATCGAAGGTAACCAATCGTAAGCTGAGTTTGGACTCGAAGTCCCATCTGGTTAAGCAGAAGAGGAGACTGCAGTCCGAAGTCAAGCATGCATTTATCAAGGACGAGGTATTCAAACTCCTTAAAATAGGTTCCATCCGAGAATTTAAATATCCGGAATGGTTAGCTAACGTAGTGGTGGTGCCTAAAAAAGGGAATAAGCTAAGAATGTGTGTATATTATAAAGATCTAAACATGGCATGCCCTAAAGATTCTTTCCCTCTGCCTAACATCGATCGAATGATCGACGCGATGGTTGGGCATGAGATACTCAGTTATTTCGATGCATATTTCGGGTACAACTAAATTCGGATGGACCAGGGAGATCAAGAAAAGACTTCTTTCATCGCTAAATTTGGCACCTACTGTTATAATGTAATGCGGTTTAAATTAAAGAACGCTGGCGCCACCTATCAATGCTTAGTAAATTGGATGTTCGAAGAATAGATAGGAAAATCATTGGAAGTTTGTACTGACGACATGTTAGTTAAGTCCCTGCGAGTAGAGGACCATTTGAAACATTTGTAGGGGACCTTCAACATATAAAGAAATACAATATGAAACTGAACCCGTAGAAGTGCGCATTTGGGGTATCGAGAAAATTCCTCGGGTTCATGGTAT